ACATCCGCCAATCCCTAGTCGGCATCGTTTATGGTTGAGACTAGGACGGTATCTGATCGTCTTCGATCCCCAAACTTTCGTTCTTGATTAATGAGAACGTCCTTGGCAAATGCTTTCGCAGAAGTTCGTCATCCATAAATCCAAGAATTTCTTATCTGACAATGGAATACAAATGCCCCCAACCGTCTCTATTAATCATTACTCCAATCCCAAAGACCAATGAAATAGGACCAGAGTCCTATCGCGTTATTCCATGCTAATATGTTCAGAGCACAGGCCTGCTTTGAACACTCTAAATTTTTTCAAAGTAACAGCGCCGTCTCTGGATCCCAGCCAATAAAGGCAAGGAACGCATACCCGGCAAGAAAGGCGAAAGGGCCGGTACACGCCCGCAAGAGCGVACCAACCCCTCCCACCCAAAATCCAACTACGAGCTTTTTAACTGCAACAACTTAAATATACGCCATTGGAGCTGGAATTACCGCGGCTGCTRGCACCAGACTTGCCCTCCAATGGATCCTCGTTCAAGGAGTTTACGACAGTTCTCATTCCAATTACCGGACTCGAAAGAGCCCAGTATTGTTATTTATTGTCACTACTTCCCTATGTCAACTTAAGGGTACGCTCAGCCTCATGCCTTTGTCCCCCTCAGAAGAAAACACACTCAGAGCTGAGTCCACGCAACTTAGAGTGTTCCCAGTCGCGTTTCAGCAACCCACAAAAGAAATAACAGGATCCTGGGACCTCCCAACTTAGGGTGCCCATCCTCCTGTTCAGAAACCCCAGAAAAAAAACAGCGAATGAACCGTCCAACTTAGGATAGGCCCAACCCTCAAACCCATACAAGCGACCCAGTAAACATGAATAAAACACAACGCTGAGCCCACTTCAACTTAGAGGAGCTCAACCTTGGGTTGACCCGGTCAAAGCATGCATAACTCCTTCAGCCCACCCTCCCCCAGTTCCTTTTGTTTGAATTCCACCAAAGGATCTGCACTCTCATATATTGTTGATTTAACTTTCAAGATGCATGTCTTGACAGACATAAAAGTAAGAAGTAATAACCTCACATAGTTGTGTTCAAATAGCCCAAGGATAAAGGTTTACGGGAAGGGATCACACAGGTTAACGAGAATATATATGAAGTTCCCTGCCTCCAGAACCCCGCCTGGGTTATGGCAGAGCTCCCACAATCGGTGGGGCAACCTCCCACAGAGGCCTTGGCGCGGTCCTACGGGTTGCAACCCCACCTGCCGCCTTCCTCTCGTCACCAATAGACTAGACTTAAACTTAGAATGGCAGAAAGAGAGTAATTCAGACCCTCAGATCCAGGAGAGGTGCGCTCTGACTCGCGTGAGAGGGCCTTGGAATTTTCCACTCCTGAGGGGCCCGCAATGATGGCCAAGAATAGAAACGCAGCAGCAACGGTCTACCTCGGTCGGATGCAGCATCAATAGCCTCCTGACTGCCCTCCAAGTTGCAGCGCCAACCCTTCTGCTGAATCTGACCTCCCCCTCAAAGCTACAATACTTTTTCCCGTCCGGATCGTAGCCGCACAGCCTAGGAAGGACCGCGTTTCGATTAGAGCACACCCCCGTGCTCTACTCAGGCACAGGCTGCAGTAGCCCAGCCCCGCTATGACGCACAGTGGTAGCGTGCAGCGAACAGTACTGCCTCCCACCGCAGCAGCACCCAGGTTGTCAACAGAGTGGTGCCGCAACAGCTCTTCGGTAGGTCTTGCTAACATACAGGCTGTAGCAGCTCGCCCCCGTGGCAGTGGCAGTCTGCATCCCAGCGGGACCGCTGTAGTAATACAAAGTCCCACCATTCCGCAGACGACAACGACTACCCCACCGTTGCTTCGTCTGAACACATAATCATAAGAAGCGTTATGGCAGGAGTCGCAAACAGCCAGGAACATAATATCTGCCACAGCGACCCCGTACCGCAGCGCCCACCGGAATGCAGCAGTCGCAGTTACCCCAGCAATGCACAGTTCCAAGGCGGCCGCAGTGGAGTGGGAGCTGCAACAGCTGGTTATCGGTATAGTACCCACCTGGGACAGTCCAGCAGTCGCTCAATCACAGCGCGATGTATAGCGAGGGACAGCGCCCGGCTTAGCCGCGGCCCTATGCTAGGTGACCCCAAACAGCCGGAGTACCGATTGCCTCAGCAATCCAGTGCCCACCGAAGAGTTTGGCAGTTCCAGGCTCGTCCGTCTGAGCTCTTGGACCCCTTGGTGAACCAGTCAACTCAGAACGCCCCGGCCTGCCAACGACTAGCGGCAGTCCCCAACTTAGCCGCACATCAGTCGCAGCCCCTCCCCAGCTGTATCCACCAACGTTCAGCAGCAACGCAAGTTTAATCGCAGCAGCGGTCCTGGACTTCAAGTTGAGAGCGCAGAGAGGTGAGTAGAGGTTATTCCCACCCACAAAACCAGCTGAATCTTCCGTTACAACACTGATGAACATGCTGTCTCCCATTGCTTACTCATCATGGCCTCGATTACTTCTCCTCTCTGTCACTCTTGCCTACGCACTTCTACCCAGCCACCACTCCCTTCGTAGACCGCGACTATCCTACTACGGTTACTCTATTCTATCTCGAACCCGTAAACCTACAGTAGGCACGAGCCGGGCAGACAGCCAGTGTGCAGAGCAAGAGGGGAACTCGCAGCACCTGCATCAGTTTCACGAATCGTACCAGCCTCCACACTCATATCAGTCTGAGACTCAAGGGCTACACCAGTCTCAAGGAGCTAGCAGCCCTGCCTGGAAGAGGGGAAACCACAACTCCCCGTAACAGGCTGTCAGTCCGCAACAGACTAATGTACGACATAACAGCAACCAGTAACTTCGGTCTGTATCAACTTCTCCAAGAATGATAGCAGTAACTAGCGTAACCCCACCAACCGCAGCACTCAGTGGCAGCAACCAGCTGCAGCCTACACAGCAGCAATGACTCCATCAACAGTTGTAGCAGCAATTCATCGACTCTAAAGACGGACTTCAGCAACCATACTTTTAAACCCAAACTGTAACAACTGACTGATCCGGACAGCTGCAGTAACCAACCAAGGCTGTCAGCAGCAATGACCATGGTTCGGATCGTCTTTGTAGCTGCTTCCGGCAGCCTTCCCCTGCTCTCCCTCGTTTTTTTTTTTGTTTTTTTTTTTGTTTTTTCTTTTTGCCCTCCTCTACCTTGGACTTTTGCTGAAGTACTCCACCCCAAGCTTCAGTCATACTCCCCAGCATCAGCCAGCACAAAAGGCAAGAGGCCCGAGGATGTGCAATATAACTACGATCCCACCACAGACCTAGGTAACCAGCATGCATGTTCGTTCGATACAATCACTAGTGATTCCTTTGCTCGACCCCCCCCCCCCGGAACCCGGTCAGATGCGTGTCCCACAAGTAGGCATCCCCCCTCTTTCTCTCACCCATGCACACATATTACTGCTGCTGTGCACCCCTCATCTGTAGAGAGGATACCAGCCTTCTCCCTCCCACACATCTGTACATGACAGCCGCCAGCCTACTAATGAAGCTGGTTGTGATGACGAGGCCGTTGATCCTACCAAGATCACGGAGAAGACAAATATGAATTTGAGTGGGCAGCGAACAGCATACCAACACCGCTGTTGCTGCTTGTGGCCTAATCGCAAGCACGAAGAAGGTGACCACAGCGCTGAACAACTGCGATACAGGAATGAATATCCCGCCAAAAGATGGGACAATACATCCTCAACAAAATGTATATATATATTAATCCCAGCGCAGCTTCTGTTGTCCGTACCGGCCAGGCCAGTGTATGAACCACCAATCTGAGTTCACCAACTACCTCGCAGCGTACAAAAACCTCTGTAACGCACCTTCACTCTCCCGTTTTCGTCAAGGAATGGACGAGATAGGAGTTTTTGCCTCCGCCATAATCACTCACCCGTGTCATCAGCGCACCCCGTTTTTCAAGTAGCTCACATTCTACTAATTAGTCATCAAATCTATTACTACCAACGAACTCGCCCTACTCAAAAACTACTATTGAGCACTCTCCCCTACGCGATTCCGTTGAGGAATAAGCATGGTATGACTCCTCTCTCCCGGCCATCTTCCCGTGCTTGCTGTTGAATGCACCTGGCGCATATCAGTGTCSAGGTACGTTCTTCCGTTGTCTATATTCGCCAGAGGTGCCGAGCCTTGTTCTTTACTTACTCCGTCTTCATCTTGACTTCCCTGGCAGCTGCCTCCTCCATCCCCTGTCCACACCGTCGCCTCCCTACTCGTGTATTCGGCCGCTCTCCCCGATCCCGTTCATGTGTTCCCTTCAGCACCTATCCGAGGGAGCTAAGCTGAGCTCGTGCAGTTCCGCCATGATACTGAGGAAGGAGGGCGCCACTGTAGTGTGAGAAGATGGCCGCCGTGGCTTGGAGAGAAAAGCCACCTCAACTTCAGCAACCGAGACGGAGCAGCCTGCGGGATCGAGGTGGGCTGCTGCCCGGATCACACAGACGAACACAGCCCGGTGCTTGCTCCTCTTTCCTTCGAACATACCTGGCCTGAAGCCGCATCCAGGTTCATCTGCCTCTTTATTGCTGCTTCTACTGTCCCCCCTCTCGTCGTGCTGCGCTCTCTCACGCTACCTCTTTCTTCTCTAGTCCTTCCCTCTCAGAGTCTCTCCTCCTATACTACCATCTCTCTCGGCAGCCTGCACTATCCTCACCCTCTCGGTCTGCCCTCGCACTCAACCAGCGACGAGAGAGGTCGCCCCCTCCCTTTATGCAAGTCAGCCTCATACAGGGGCCACGCCGATCTTCTCTGTATCGTTCCAATTTTAACGGATGTCCCGAAGGACTGCTCTCTAGGCAGAGATCCAGATCATTGGGTCAGCTGTCTCGGGACCACCACCTCATACGGCTTTAGACACAGACCTGCATTCTACCAGTTCAGTGGTGTATCCACTGAACTAGGCTGAAGGGCTTTACTGCAGGTCCCGGTACCGGCACCGCACCCCGTTCCCAATGAAAAGAACAAGAAAATAGGAAAAATAGAAAAAAATAAGAAATAAACAATTAAAAATATATATATATATATATAAAATTTAAACTCAGAGATAGACATAGAAAAAAACGGATACGGGAGGGGACTGCTGGCACTCGGTCCTTTCTTACGGGCCCGCGGTTGGAACCCTTTGCAAAAAGGTAAGGGGGATAATCCCACAGGACCCTCAACCCCTCGGCTCACTCCATAGTGCTCCTCCGCTGCTCCGCTCTGGCCTCAATCCTAAGGCCCGCCTCGTGAAAATGCAATGACATAACCTATAGGGCTAAGCCCAAGCCTGAGTTGGCCAGGCCCTACCCTGTATATGAACGGCATGGCCCGCCAGCCTGGGCCTGCAGCAGCAGCCTAAAGGCTGCTGCTGCCCGTTCCCCACTCAAACCTACTGTTCAGCAGGCGCGTTTCTGCGAACCCAGGCGCAGGCCACCACTCAGCCTGCCGTGCCTGCAGCCCCTTAATACCACTGCCAATAAGCTAGGGCTCACCCCTCGCTGCTTCTTTCTTGGAAAGGCCGCTCTTCCACCATCTCTATACTGGACAACCCCGGCCTTTACTATGACCCGCGCCATCCCTACCCGGCTTTGGCTGCGGCTTCTAGTAGTGATGACGCACGGTAAGCTCAGCGCCTTGCGTAACTTTGCACGGGGCGACCCTGAACATCGGCCCCTAGTAAGTTAAACGACATTCTTTTCTAGCCACAGCCCTACCTGGTCAACGCAACGCCGCTTGTAACTTTGCCCGTGCGGGCGAGGCTGCGACCGTCTTGGTGATCCTAGTCCACCACTTACTTACCCTACCGGGGTCTCATAGCCCTCCCTAATCAATCACTTGGTCAAACTAACGCGCGCCCACGAAGTGCCCGCCCAGACACTCTCTAATCAACACAAATGGGACGCGCCCCTAAATATCGTCAGGCGCGCTCTTCCTGTAAGCTGCAAAAATGTGCCCAAATACCCCTTGTAAGGGTATTCGGGCCGACAGTGCAGCATATCCGACTTCTGGAAGGGATGTATTTATTGGATAAAAGGCCGATCCGGGCTTGCCCGTTGTTGCAGTGAATCATGGTGACTTGTCGAATCGCATGGCCTTTGAGCCGACGATGTTCCATTCAAATTTCTGCCCTATCAACTTTCGRTGGTAGGATAGAGGCCTACCATGGTGGTAACGGGTGACGGAGAAATAGGGTTCGATTCCGGAGAGGGAGCCTGAGAGATGGCTACCACATCCAAGGAAGGCAGCAGGCGCGTAAATTACCCAATCCTACATAGGGAGGAGTGACAATAAATAACAATACTGGGCTCTTTCGAGTCCGGTAATTGGAATGACAACAGTCATAAACTCCTTGAACGAGGATCGATTGGAGGGCAAGTCTGGTGCCAGCAGCCGHGGTAATTCCAGCTCCAATAGCGTATATTTAAGTTGTTGCAGTTAAAAAGCTCGTAGTTGGATTTTGGGTGGGAGGGGTTGGCGTGCTCTTGCGGGCGTGTACCGGCCCTTTCGCCTTTCTTGCCGGGTATGTGTTCCTTGCCTTTATTGGCTGGGATCCAGAGCTGGCGTTGTTACTTTGAAAAAATTACAATGTTCAAAGCAGGCGTGCGCAATGAACATATTAGCATGGAATAACGCGATAGGACTCTGGTCCTATTTCGTTGGTCTTCGGGATTGGAGTAATGATTAATAGAGACGGTTGGGGGCATTCGTATTCCATTGTCAGAGGTAAAATTCTTGGATTTATGTGGGACGAACTTCTGCGAAAGCATTTGCCACGGACGTTTTCATTAATCAAGAACAAAAGTAAGGGGATCGAAGACGATCAGATACCGTCCTAGTCTCAACCATAAACGATGCCGACTAGGGATTGGCGGATGTCTATTGGATGACTCTGCCAGCACCTTGTGAGAAATCAAAGTTTACGGGTTCCG